CAGCGCCCCCTCCCCCGGACAAGGGCAGCCCCCAGGCCGTGGCCAACCAGCACTTCATCATGGTGGAGGTGCACCAGCCCAACAGCGAGCCCGACGTCAACGAAGTGAGGCCCCTGCCCCAGGCCAGAGGTGGGTGGCACCTGCCCCTCGAGAGAGAAACGGCAGAGGAGGCAGATCTGCCCCGGAGCTGGAGCACCTCTGCTCCGGAGCCAGGCTGGGAGAGCTGGGGGGGTTCACCTGGAGAAGAGAAGGCTCCGGAGGAGAGCTGAGAGCCCCTTCCAGTGCCGTGGGGTCCCTTGGGGATGGAGAGGGAAGGGGGGTCCCAGGGCGTCCCTCACAGATGGAGAGGAAGCGGGGTCCTGGGAGGCCCCTTGGAGATGGAGAAGGAAGGGGGTACAGGAGGATCCCTCGGCAATGGAGAGGGAAGGGGGTACAGGGGGATCCCTCGGAAATGGAGAGGGAAGGGGGTACAGGAGGATCCCTCGGAAATGGAGAAGGAAGGGGGTACAGGGGGATCCCTCGGAGATGAAGAGGGAAGGGGGTACAGGAGGATCCCTCGGCAATGGAGAGGGAAGAGGGTACAGGGGGATCCCTTGGCAATGGGAGAGGGAAGGGGGTACAGGGGGATCCCAGGGGATCCCTCGGAGATGGAGAGGGAAAGGGGTACGGGGCGGATGTCCCTCGCAGATGAAGAAAGAAGGGGGGTCCGGGGGAGTCCCTCGGAGGTGGAGAGGAGGGAGTGTGGTCTCGGAAAGTCCCCCGGAGATGGAAAGGGGTCCCGTGGGGTCCCTCGGAGGTGGAGAGGGAAGGGTGTCCCGGGGGATCACTCGCAGATGAAGAAGGAAAGGGGGTCCCGGGGATGTCCGGAGGGTCCTGGGGGTATCCCTGGCCCCCCCTACCCTGTGGGACCGACACGAGTGGCAATGTCGCCCTCCTGTGGCCCCGTCCCGTCCCTGCAATGGGTTCATTAACCGCGGTTAATGAGGGTTAATGAGGGCGAGGGGCTGCCGGGGTCAGGTCCTGCCCGAGGGGTGTCCACAGTGGGACTTGGACTCCTCCGAGTGCCAGAGCCGCTGTCCCGGACACCCCGCGCTCCCCGCGGGTGCAGCTGTACCGCTGTTCCCGGCATTCCCAGAGTCTCCATCTGCGCTTGGAGCCTTTATTCTCGAAGATGAGAAAGCTCTTTTATGGCAGCACCTCTTTGCTCGGTCTGTCCCAGTCTCCTCCCATGTGGAGCAGGGTCTGGATAAACGGGCAGGAACCCAGGACTCATCACTCTCTCCCTCCATCCCTGTTTGGGATCTGGGTTGGATCCTGGACCTGAGCATGAGGCCACTTGTCCCCTGACAAGTGCACAGCTCTGTCCTTCTGCCAGGAGGGTGCAGCCAGGCGGGGGTCGGGCTCTTCTCCCAGGTAACAAGTGACAGGACAAGATGAAATCGCCTCAAGTTGTGGAGGTTCAGGTTGGATATTAGTGAAAATTTCGTCAGTGAAAGGGTGGTCAGGCATTGGGACAGGCTGGGGAGGAGTTTCCATCCCTGGAGGGGTTTAAAAGCCGTGTAGATGTGGCACTTGGGGACATGGGCTAATGGTGGGCTCAGCAGTGCTCAGGGAACAGCTGAACTCGATGATCTTGGAGATCATCTCCAACTCAAATGACTCTCTGTTCTATGACAGCCACTGATGTCAAATCATTCACCTCCCCCTATTTACAGTCCCGTGGGTTAGTGGTGGGCTCGGCAGTGCTGGGGAATGGTTGAGCTTGCTTGGAAGTCTTTTCCAACCTAAGCAATTCCGTAATTCGGAAGCTTGGGAGCCTGGCTCCGAAGGCCAGGTGTCATTCCCGGGGGATCTGCCCGGCCCTGGGATCTGCCCTCGCCCCGTGCGTGCCCGGCCGGCCCCGGGGCCGCGCTGCCCGCCCTCTAACCCGCGTGTCTCCCCAGCCTCCACGCTCTCCCAGCTGTCGGACAGCGGGCAGACCCTCAGCGAGGACAGCGGGGTGGACATCGGGGAGCTCGAGACCAGCGGCAAGGACAAGAGCCGGCAGCCGGGCCCTGGGAAAAGCCGGAGCCTCAAGGAGGCCGCGAGGAGCGAGGGGGCGGCTGAAGGGGCCTCCAAGCCGGTGAGGGCCGGGGGGGGCTGCTGGTTGTGGGAGGGGGCACCTGGGTCTGTCCCCCACTGCCCCATCGGGCCAGTTCTGCTCCCCCTTCCCCACCGGGCAACAACTGCTCTGCTGTGCTTTGGTGGGTTATTTATCCTCTGTAGTGAGCTGAGTGAGCTCTCGGGGGGGCTGAGCTGTGGGGAAAGGGGTCAGGAGTGGCTAAAAGGGGCTCTGTAGAGCTGATTCACTCCATGATGGGTAAATCCAGTCCCTCCCAGCTACAGGGGGCATGGCAGAATCCCTGGCTCTGAGGGAACATCTCCAGGGCGCAGTGAAGTCACCTGTAGCCTGGAAGGGAAGGTGGCAGCGGGTATCAGGGGGTTTCTGATGGTGGTATAGGTAGGCAGGCAGAGAGCTGCTCTGCTCTTCCTCAAGTTCTTCCAGCCCTGCCCATGGTTGGGATCTTGGATGTCAAGAGTCAGGGAGAGAATGTGTTTGTCCCTCTGCGGTGACAGCCAACCGTGGGTGTCCCTGCCTGCTCTGGGACACCCCAGGGACTGTGGCAGGCACACGATGTCCAGCCTCCCTTAGCAGTGCCCTCTCTCCCCACAGCCAGGGCTCCTGGAGCCCACGTCGTGTCTGATCCGGGTGTCCAAGAGCGCTCCCACCTTGGGCATCGCCATCGAGGGCGGAGCGAACACGCGGCAGCCGCTGCCCCGCATCGTCACCATCCAGGTAGGGCGGGCTGGGAACGGGAATAACTCCATGGACATCCCATCCCTCTGCTCCCTGAGCAGGCTGGGAAAGCCTTTGAGCCACAGCCAGAGCAGAGGGGGGATTTTAGAGGTGCCTCCCTCTGCTACAGCCCTGCACGTCCCCAGCCATCATCCTGCTGTGGGGGTTTGCATCCGTGTCCCGTGGATGATCCCACACCATAACAGACATCCTGGGAGCCAAGGATTTGCTGCAGACATTTCAGAGGGAGTCAGGGCAGCCCTGAAAGCTTGGCTGGTGTCTCCAGATGTCTGGAAACTCCCAGACAGAGGACTGGGGAGGGGGAGTGGTGGATGAGAGCCAGACAACTGAGCCCTCCAGGGCTGTCTCCCTGTTTGCTGTTTACTTGGGGCAAAATTCAAGTTATTTACAGCAAAAGAAAAGCAGAGCTGACTGTGCCTTGGTTATTCTTGGCCACCCCAGCTGGCGCCACGCTCCAGGAGCAATCAGGAGGGGAGCCAAATTCACCCCCTCTCTCCAAAAAGCGAAATATCTCATATCCATCACGTTCCTTCGCCGGTTCAGGGTGAACATGAGCGATATGAAATATATCCCATTTTTTTCCCCCCAAAAAAACCAGCTGGGTTGACCCAAGGGAGGGATGGTGGGAAGGTGAGCTGACCGCCTCTCTCCTGCAGCGTGGGGGGTCGGCACACAACTGTGGGAAGCTGAAGGTGGGCCACGTCATTTTGGAGGTGAACGGCACGGGCCTGCGAGGCAAAGAGCACCGGGAGGCCGCCCGCATCATCGCCGAGGCCTTCAAGCTGAAGGACAAGGACTACATTGACTTCTTGGTCACAGAATTCAACGTGGCCCTTTAGGGATGGCTTTTGGGAGCGCGGAGCGGGACGGGGATGAAGGGCAGCGCCGAGGTGTGAACGAGGTCCCGCCACGCAGAGCCTGCGCACGCAGACACCCCCAGCTTGTCCCCAGATGTCCCCTCGCCCGCTGTGGACTCGCTGCCTGGGTAGGGCAGGCTGAGAATGGGCAGAAATCACTGCACGTCCCTCAAAAGTTTCCACCCTGTCCTGTCTGGGGTAGGGAAAACACCCTCTCCCCCTCGGCCGGGCGGGAGGACGGCAGAGGTCTGGGTGTCCCCCCTGTCATTTGAGTGCCACACACACAGCAAGGCGGGCCCGTGGCTCAGGCTGGAGGGGTTTTGGGTGGTGGCCACTCCCTTGGGTGCTCACACCCTCCGTGCCCAGGGGAGTGGCACAGGCCACGGGTGGGGAGGCAGAGAGAGCAACTGGAGGCCTTGTAAATCGCTGGCAACGTCGTCGTATTTATATATACAGAGCTTGTGCTTTTAATTTTTCAATAAATCTATCAGGGTAGAAAAGGACTGTGGCTGGGGGGGTTCTTGGGGGCTGGGATGGAGGGGAGGAAGGGGCAGGGGTGACTGTGGGATTCCCCAGGGCCAACAGGGCAAGTGGGAGTGTGGTGGTGGTGGGCTGGGAGGGAATGCTCCATGTTAGCCCCATCCCCTCCCATTCCATCCCATCCCAGTCTCACCCCCATTCCCATCCCAGTCCTATCCCTGTCTCATTCCCATCCCATCTCATTCTCTTCCCATCTCCATCCCCTCCCCATCTTCATCCCAATCCCTGCCAGGGATCCCCGGAGGATAGGAAGGGGCAGTGGTGCCTCCGGGGCTCCCCAGCACGGGCAGAGCATGTGGGAGTGCGGTGCTGGTGGGCTGGGAGGGGATGCCCATCCCCAAACTCATCCCCATTCCCATTCCCCTGCCATCGCAATCTCCATCCCATCCCCACCCTCATTTAGACCTTCCTCATCCCCATCCTGTGCCCATTCCATGCCCATCCCATCCCTGTCCCGGCCCCATTCCCATCCCATCCCATCCCATCCCATTCCCAGCGATCCCGGAGGATGGGCAGGCGCAGCGCTCCGCCAGGGGGCGCCCGCGCTGCTTAAATTATTTAAATGAGGCCTGTCTTCCGTGGCTCTGATTGGCCGCGCGCTATGCAAATACGGCGGGGGGCGTGGTTTATGCTAACGACGTCCCGCTGCCTGCCCGGCGGCGGGCGCGGATTGGTCGGGAGCGGCGGGTATGCTAATGAGCGGAGGACACGCCCCCCGCCGCGGGCCGCGCTATTGTCCGGCGGGACCGGGATTGGGATCGGGATCGGATCGGGATCGGGACCGCGATCAGGATCAGGATCAGATTCGGGATCGGGACCGGGGCCGCCCAGCGCCGCCCGGGCTCTCCCTGCAGGTGGGCTGCGCGGGGCGCTCGCGGTTGGAGTGGGAGGGGGGGGTTGCCCCTCCAGCGGTGCCCCAGGGCCAGATGTGCCCCAGCTGTGCCCGGGGGGGCCGGGAATGGCTCGGCTGCTCCCTGCTGCGGGGGAGAGGAGGAGGGGGCCCCCGCGGCGCCGCTGGAGGCACAGCTGGAGGCACAGCCCGGGGGCCCGCGGGGCTGGCTCCATCCCCAGGGCCGCATCCAGCGCTCCCCGGGCGCATCCAGCGCTCTAAGCCCGGCTTAGGCAGCTGGGAGCCGGTTGGGGTCTCTGGGCGGAGCGGGGGGAACTCGCAGGCCCGCGGGGGTCCCCGCGGCCGAGGAGACGGGACGCGCCGGGAGGATGCGGGAGGCAGCAGGAGGATGCGGGACACGCCGCTCCTCGCCGAGGCGTGTCCTCCCCACGCCAGCCGAGCCTTCGTGGCCCCGGGGAAACTTGTCATAACTTTGCTCATCGCGGTGCCTCCTCCCCGCCGGGCCCGGAAGGTTCCGGGCGGGTCCGTCGGGGGCTGCGGGGGCGGTTCGGAGCCGCTGCCGGGGCTCGGCGGGGGCTGCGGGACGCGGGGCCGAGCCGCTGCCGGAGGCTCCTCCGAGGAAGTCGCAAAGGCAGCTTTCAGCTTCAGTTCCGTGTTTTATTTAAAGGGCAGCCGTGTTCCTGATAGCCGGTGGGTGCCGGTTCTGCGGCACCCTTTCAGTGCCTCCCGGGCGGGGATGTTTTAAGGACTCGCGGAGAGGGAGGGACTCCACGCACTGTTCATGCGGTCTGGGAGAGCTGGGGGTGTTCAGCGTGGAGAAGAGAAGGCTCCGGGGAGACCTTAAAGCCCTTTCCAGTGCCTAAAGGGGCTCCAAGAGAGCTGGAGACGAACTTTGGGCAAGGGATGGAGTGACAGGACAAGAGGGAATGGCTAAACTGAAAGAGAGGTTAAGATTGGATTTTGAGAAAAAATTCTTCCCTCTGAGAGTGGGGAGGCCCTGGCTCTGGACACAGGTTGCCCAGAGAAGCTGTGGCTGCCCCATCCCTGGAAGTGTCCAAGGCCGAGTTGGACAGAGCTTGGAGCGAGCCGGGATAGTGGAAGGTGTCCCTGCCGTGTCCCCGCCACCTTTCCCTGCCCTGTGCTAATTAGGGCTCCCAGTGCCACCGGCTCTGCCGCGGTGACAGCAGCAGCTCTCTCCAGACAGGGATTAAGTCTGTCCTTCACGGGCATTAGGGCACATCCACCCCCGGCTGCTGTAGGTATGTTTGGGTTCAGCCCCGGGGGGGACACCTGGGCTGTCCCCAGGAGGAACAGGAGGATCCCCGTGCCTGGGAGGAGGCAGGAAAACAGCCACGGGAGCTCCCTGTCCTGCCGTGGGGCTTCACTTCGGGGCAAGTGATGGAGAGATGCCGTTTCCCGAGGTTTTGGTACCTCTCCATGGGGATATGCCAGTGTGGGGGAGCTGGGGGAAGGTTTGGCCCCTCCAGGCAGTGGAATTTGGGTGACACGTGGGCTTTAGAGCCCTGCTGTGGTGACAGGCGTGTGTTCTTTGAGAGGACAAGGGGGTTTGTGAGGCTCTTCCTCCCTGTGATGGTCCCTCCCTTGTTCTGGTAGGAAATAATGCAAAGCAAGAACGCGGCGTTTCCGCTCCTCTGCCCTCTTTCATGCTCAGAAAAACGGGACTCTGTGGGCTTTAAAAAAGGGTTTATACACCAGGAATTCCTCCCTCCTGGAGTGCAGACACCCCTTGCCAAGTTCCAGCCTGAGGCCGTTCTGGCCTCCTCCAAACCTCCCCAGACGAGATGCAAAATATCCATCCCTCGCCCAGGATGGGGGTTAAAGGGGGTCTGGGGACCCCCTGTGTCCCAAACAGGCACAGATGTGCAAGGGGGGCTTTAATCCCCTTCCCAAGCAAGTGATTTTTGGGACACAGGGAGGGAGGGTTGTCCCCCATCGCTCAGGGGCCGTGGGGATGGAGGTGTGGGGTTTAGAGCCCCCCCAACCCACCTGCTCTGCCCAGGGTTGACAGGGCAGTGAAGGCAGAGTGACAGCAGCCCTGTCCCCCCTCCCTGTCACCCAGCCAGCCCTGGGGCGGAGGATGCTCTGTCTCCTCTGCTGTCACCACTGATAAACCCGGGAGCGAGGATGGATCCGTGCTGGCCTTGATTGTGCCGCTGTTTCTCAGCCTCACACGTGTAATGAGTTGGGCGGTCTCAGCCTCACACCTCCGTCTGTCCCACAGGGAGCAGGACAGGGATGGGATCACTGCCTGCAGGCAGGATCAGGGATCAGGAGCTGAGGGCAGGGACAGGCAGAAACACCCCCTCCTGCCTGCAGGCCAAGCAGAGACCTGGCAGCACTCATCACTGCTGTGAGCATCCCCTCCCTCGGCCGAGCACCTCCACCCTGAGCCACAATTTGGGACAGCCCTGACTGAGATCTGGAGGGCAGGAGGGGGGCTGATGGCAGAGCAGAGTTCAGGGGTGCAAGACTGTTTCTTGTTGAGGCTTTTTGATTTCTTTTTCAGCTCCTTTTCCAATTACGTTGTTGCAAAATTTCAGCTTTCAGAGGGCAAAACTTTTAAAAAATAATAAATATTGGGATTGTTTGTATTTGCTTTGTGGCTCCTGTTTATGGAACCACATTATTTTTCAAGCTTTTCTGTGCTCCCATAACAGTGAGAAACTCACTTAAAGGGGGAAGAAAAAAAAGAAAAAACAAAAGCCAAGATTTTTCTCTCCTACCACCATGACCATCAGTGGAGGGACTTTCTGGGAAAGCAGCAAATGTGGCTGGATTTGGAAGTGGCTCCTGCAGACTGTGGCTGCTGTGGGCAGTGCAGCCTTGGCACCACTGCTCAGAAATGGGGTGACAGCCAATGGTGTGTGGGTTGGGCATGGCCTTCTTCAACCCCTCCCCAAAAAAGACCCAAAATATCCAGTATGGGGTTAAAGAACAGCCAGAACCGGGTGGGAAATGTTTTAATCCTCTCTGTTGCAAGAAAACAGGACCCACAATCTCCTTTTTCCCCCCACCAGCCCTCTGGGACCCCCAGGGGTGGTGTTTGGGCTCCTCATCACTCTGGGATGCTGAGGGGCTTGAGGTGGGATGGGAGGCACTTTGGTGGGAATCTCCAGGCCCCATCTCCAGACTGGGATGTGATTCAGGGTTTAGGACTAGAAACACCCCAGCTCAGAGAGGGGCTAAAGCCCAAAATCACTCTTTAGCTGTGTGAGTGCAGGGCCTGAGGCATCCCATGGGCAGCCCTGGTGGCAGGAGAAGCTGTGGAGCATCTCCAGGTGTGGAGAATGGAGTTATCCAGTCGATATGTTTGGAAAAACCTCATGCAAACAGCCCAGGAGGTTTGCAAAACCCTAAGGGATGATTTGGGGTTTGCTCCCCACCCGGAACACCCCAAAGATGCAGGAGCTTGGAGCATCTTGGAGCTTGGGCTGGGAGTGAGTTGCAAGGATGATGCCCAAGGACCTTGAACCAGGTGGCACTGGAAAATAACCCCCAAACCCCCACTAATACCTCAAAAAATTGCAGATCTGAGGCTTGGGAGTGGATTAGGGGACTTTTCCCAGAGCATGAGGGTAGCATGGGTAGGTTTGCTGCTCATCACCAGCACCCCTGAGCCAGCAGCACCCCAAAATCACCCTCTGGCTAAAGGCAGCCACCCCAGGGACTGTGCTGTGGTTTCATTAGCTCGTCAAGCTCTCCCCCGCGTGCCACTAATTACACAGTAACGAGCTGATTAATTGGCTGCCTGCAGACGTGCCAGGACCTGCCTCGGTGCCTGGGTATGGCTGCAGCGTCCCTGGGGGTGTGAGCAGCATCTCGGGGTGGGGGGCCAGGTGGACACCCCCCCTTGGAAATCCGGAGAGGGTTGGAAATTCCAAGGGGAGGGTCCAGCTGGCTGAATTTTTGGGGCTTTAAGGCTTAATTTTGTGTCTCCTGGCAGACCCTCATCCTGATGTCCTCTAGAGGCTGATGGTCCCAGGGATCCCCCTCCCCTATTTTCCTGCAGCGTTTTGCTCCAAATTGGATTAAAAACTAAAGGGTTTGGATGGAAAATGGCTGTGGGAGGAGGGTTCAGCCCCCACTGCGCAGGCCCGGATGGGGTTAAAAAGTTGGTGGCCGCCTGCAAACTTGCAGGAAGAACCATTTCCTACTTCTGCAAAAGCTCAGCTGCCCCACAGGCACAGGAAGGTTTTGGGGTGCTCTGAGTGATGCTGCTTTGGGGACTCCAGGTGGGCTCACGGGTGATGGGGTGTCCTGGGGGGCTGGCACAGGGTGAGTGTCCCCTGCATGGGGCTGGTGTTGCACCTGGTTTTTGGCCAAAATTGGGGGAGTGGGGTTCTGATCTACCCCAGGGGATGCTGATGGGAGAAGCCCGTGGCCTCTCTTGCTACACACCCCACGCTGGGGTTTGGACATCCGGCGTTTCTCGAGCTGCTGCTGCGGCTCTGGGAACCCCACGAGGGGGTGAGGGGGAGCTCGTGCTCTTGGGTTATCTGTGGAATGAGTGTGCCAGGTCTCTGCTGCGATCCCTCTCACTGTCAGCCCCCCAGATCCAGCGGGGTTTTGGGATGCTCCTGCCTCCCCCAGCACCATCCTGCACGGTGATGGCACCACTGATGGTCCCCAGGCTGTGGCCGCCCGGCTGGGGTGACATCCACAGGGTGCCAGCACGGGCTGGGTGTTCCCTGGGAGGGGACAAGCTTTTTGGGATGGCCCTGGGAGGGCTCCTTCCCCACGGGGACCATGAGCTGCGAGTTATGTGGCAGCTCCTGCTACATGGTGGGATGCAGAGCCGGGGGCTGATCTGAGGGTGTCCCCCCATCACGGGAGGCTGCTCTTCCCCTGGGTTCGGGGGGCAGGGAAAGCCCTGGCAGTGGGGGAACACACCTCAAACAGAGCCCACCGTGTCCTGCTGACATCCCTCCCTCTCCCTCGCCCCCTTCCCTCCCCCTCCCAGGACGCGGTGGCGATGTTGTGACCTACATTCGCGACAAGGAGGTCCCCAGCCCGCCGCCACCATCGGGCCATGAAGCGGCACAAGTGACAGGGCCGCCGTGCCCGCGGCCATGGCCAGCCCGGCACCATGGCTGCACTGCACACAAACAGAGCTGACGCCCTGGGAGGGAGAGGACGAGGAGGAGGAGGAGGAAGAAGACGACTTTGAGAGGCGGATGGACGAGGACGGGGTCATCGGCCTGGGGGAGGGTGCCAGGAGCCCACCGTGGGGTGAGTCGTCCCCTCCCTCCTGCCCAAAGCCCCTCGTGGGGGTGGTCGCAGATGTGCTGGAGCCAAGGGGGGCTGCGGGAGGGGTGGGGGCACCGTCTGGGTCCGGCTGGCAGCAGCCCCGCGCCGCTGGTGTTTTGCAGGTGCCGGGGAGGACCCGGAGGAGGGGTCCCCGGTGGAGGAGGGTCGCTGGCACCCGCAGCAGGACCTGGCGGAGGAGGACGAGGAGCGTGGCAGCTCCGGGGGGGACGAGGGGCCCTGGGGGGCAGAGAGTGACGGGGAGCCCTACCCCGAGCTCTCCTGCGAGGGCCGGTGGGGCTCGGGGTCCAGCGGCAGCCCCGAGGCTCTGCGGGAGCACCGGGCTCTCTGCCAGCCCCGCGGCTGCAGCACGGATGGTGGGGACACCTCGGCGCTGTCGGACACCAGCCCTGGCCCTGCCACCCCATCCCGCCGGCCCCGGGGCTGGGGCACAGCCGGGGACACCTCTGGAGGGCACGGGCAGGGGTGGACCCCGAGGCGGAGCCTTCCACTGCCTCTCTCCACCGACGACCCCCGCGATGCCACCAGCCCCGAACCTGTCCCCAAGCCCCACACAGCCCCTGGCACCACTGGCTTGGCACCCCCGGAGGAGCCCCAGGGCACTGGGAATCCCCCAGCACCCCAACTGCACGACAGGTCCCGGCTGCCCAAAAAAGCGGCGCCCACGGTGGTGCCCCCCAAGCCCGCCCGACAGTCACGGTCCCTGAGCCCCCGGCGGGGAACAGGAGGCAAGGGGCACAGGGATCCCTCGGGAACGGGCACGGATGGCACCCAGTACGGCCGCGGGCGCCTCAACCACCCCCTGCCCGACCTGTCCAAGGTGGAGGCGCGGGTGAAGTTCGACCAGAGCTACCGCCCCCCCCGGGGCCGGGTCCTGCCTGCCCGCCCCAGGGTGCCCGGTGGTCCCGTTGGCTTCAAGTCCCCGGCCGAGATCGTGCGGGAGGTGCTGCTGAGCAGCGGGGAGGGGGTCCCCTCGCAGCCCCCCAGCACCACCGGGCTGCCACAGGAGTTCAGGTCCCCCAAACAAGCCACCGCGCTGGTGCAGCAGCTCCAGGTAACGCCCAGCTCCTCCCAGTTCGGCCAGGGAGGTCGTACTGGGAGGGTCACCATGGTGGGGGGGGAGCCAAGGGGTGGTGGTGAAGTGGGGATGTCACCGGCTTCGTGAGCTGGTGCTGTGTCACCCACGGGATTTGGTGCTGCGGCACTCATGGGAGGTCGGTGCTGGGCACCCCTTCCCAGTCCTACATGGGGAGGAGGGAAGGAGCAGGCAGGGATGTGGGCAATGCTCAGGCTAGAGGCAGGGATGCTTGTGTTCCCCTGAGATGCCCTCCTGTCCCCTGGGGTGCCCTCCTGTCCCCTGGGGTGCCCTCCTGTCCCCTAGGAGTAGAGGGGAGCTCTCCCCACACAGCCAGACAGGGGCCACATCTGCCCCAGACGAGCCGGGTGCTTTGGGGGGAGGGTTTCTGCACTCCAGAATGTCACCCACCTATAGGACCCCCCCAGGCCTGTTGTCCTCACGCAGGGCTGTCTCCCCCTTTGCCATCCCCCCTGTACCGGGTGCTGGCCCCCACTGGTGTCCCCTCCCTGCAGGACGACTACCACAAGCTGCTGACCAAGTACGCCGAGGCTGAGAACACCATCGACCAGCTGCGCCTGGGGGCCAGGGTGGGTGTGGGGTCGG